TTATATTTAAATTATACAGTGTTTCTTCCTGGCAACCCAAGTCCATTATATTGACCCACGCTGTATTAAATCAAGGTAGATCTCAGATATCTGCCTTTAATGGACCAGGAAAAAGATATAAGACATTCTCAGGTAGCAAAGAGGAAAGTTTAAATTTAAATATACCTACAATATCTCTTTTCCCTTTTAACGTTAATCTGGGACTGCCTCCCTTTAAAGACAATCGATCTGAAAGATGCCTTTTTTTTTTAACATTCTGTTGAAATTCTTTCTAATTATCTGAAACCAGATATTTATTCATTTCTGACAAAAGTAGTCCAAGAAATTGATTAGACGTCCTCTTTCAATATTTCCACAAATTGTTTCTTATTAATAAAGTTAATTTACCATAGACCCGATGAGACTGCTAGGCCACTGGAGCATAAGATACATGGCATAGACTATAATTTAAGAAAGTTTCTCTTGATTACTTCCTGAAGGGGGTGGGGCACAAAGTGGTGAGGGGAGAGATTACTGATGCATTAGAGTTCATAATTTTTCCTTGTCAGCAAAATGAACTACTCATACATCTTTTAAAATATTACAGAGATGATGGGGAAGAAAAACCCCTAAAATATCCAGAGTGGTCAAACATAGATGGGAAAACAGTTGGGTGTAAGGGGCTTATGATTGAATGAATAAATTGGGGTGGGGAAGTAAAGCGAGAACGCCCACCTGTTCATTGTCTAGGACATCTAGAGGAACATGGGAAAATCAGGAAGAATGCCAAAATAGAAAGAGAGCCCCTGTGTGAAGGTGGGAGGCGGACAGGGCATTTTTTCTCTTCTCCTGTCCACAGTCGGTATGGAGAAGAGACTTCTCGTTCGCTAGGCAGATGAGTGACGTCCCCTTCATCTCACTCCCTAGTCCCGTTTCTCTTCTTTCCCGGAGGCCACTCCAAGGATAGTTCTTGTTCTTCTGCTACAAGCTCACGTCTCTGTTAAAGATCACAGTATTTTACATTTTGGCATAAACAGTATCTTACTTGATCCTCCTGAAACTTGAGTTTTTTTCAAAAATCTTTTCTATTCTATCAGTGCTGATGCATGAAGTTACTTTATTTGTTATAACTGCATATTGTATGTATTTCATCATATGAATGTATCACGACTTGTGTATTTTCTTGCTAAGGGACATTTAAGTTGTCCTGTACTTTCACCCTTTCAAATGATGCTCCAGTGATCATCCTCATATATTTCCAGGTGAATGTAAGCGTGTTTCTCTAGATTATTTAAAGTAGAATTGTTGAATAATAGTAATTAAGGAACTTCAGTTTTACTAGATATTGAAAAATTACCTCCCAAATGGTTGTGTCAATTCATACTCTCAAGCCATTATAAAGAGCTTCTGTTTCCCCATGTTCTTGCCAAATGCAATATTATTTTCAAGTTTTGGGATTCTTGCTAAACTCGTGGTTGCGAGCCAAATTCTCATTGTCTTGACTCCATTTCCCTGTTGACTAGGAGGTTATAAACTATTCAGTTTTTCTTTTCTGTCATGGCTATCTTATCCTTTTGTCCAGTTTTCTATGGATTTATTTGTCTTTTTCCTATTGCAGGAGTTCCCAATAGAATTTAGATATTAACTAAAGTTTATTCTCCATTAAATGTGATATTTGTTGGAGATTAATTTAGTTAAGAGAGTTTATCCATGTGAAATTTTTTGCTTCTATTAAAGTGATTTGGGTTTTTTTCTTTCTTATTGTTTCAAAGTGACTAATTGCAATGCTAGATTTTCTGGTGGTAAGTCATCCTTTAAGTCTTGGAATAAATTTTAGTTGTTCTCGAGTTAATTTTAATGGTGAGTTTGGGCGAAAAATTTTTAAGTGACATGGGGCTTTCTTTTTATTTTATTGTTTGATCATTTTGAGGTTTTCATATCAAAATTATACTATCCTCTTAAAATGAGTAGGGTGGCTCTTCTCTTTTTCTGTTTTCTGAAACTTTGCTAAAACTTGCTCCTAAGACGATGTGGTGGAGGGAAAGGAGAGAGGTGGGTGGAGTGTGGAGGTGGGTGTGTGTACTGCTGATTCCAGCCCTTTAATGGTTTATTGGCCCATAAGGCTTTCTAGTTCTTCAGTCACTATGGTCATTTTCTATTTCCTTATTAATTTGCCAGGTTTCTCTAAATTTTCAAATTTATTGGCAGAGAGCTGAGCGTAACATTTTCTTAGATTTCTGAAAACCTTAAACTATCTTTCGTTTTGTCCCCTTTTGTATCTATAATTCGTGTGTGTGTGTGTATGTTTATGCGCACACGTGTGGGTACCTTCTCTGGTTCTTGATCAGCCATGCCGAAGTGTGGTTTAATATTAATATACCTGCCTAAGCTTTCTTGTGGTTAGTGTTGTTTTGCACTGCTTTCTCCATTCATTTATAGGGAGCTTTGGTTTGTCTGGTGGGTTTTAGCAGCATTAGCTAGATTTTTAAAACATCCAGTCAGATATTCTCTATTTTTATCGGAGTAGATTAATCTCTGTGCATTGATTGGGATTTTTGATCTATTTGGACTTTTCATCATTATATTTTATGTTTTAAATTTACTAAGGAAGTTCCTTATGTGCATTTTTTCCTTGTCTGCCTTCTCGTTTAATATTTAAGCTTTCTCATTGAACATTCCCCTTCTACCAGTTGAGAAGTTAAATATTCTGTTTCTGTTCCTTCTAGTGGTTACAGGTAAATTTTGACGTCCACAGTTAAGTCTCCTGTTAATCGAAATCCCTATCCTGCTCCTAGATGGTGCCTGAGAGTAACTCCCACAGCCTGCTTTCACCGTCTTCCCTGTTGTTATTTAACGTTTAATTCTATTGTCTTCGTTCACTTCTACAAACCAGTCATTTTTACAGTTAATATTTATATTTACCAACAGCTCTGTTGATTTCTTTGCTCACTTTTGTTTCTTGCGTGATGCTTCATTACTGGCTCAGTTTCTTTCGATGTATTTCAGCAAGGACCTGTGAGCAGGAAGTGCATGTACTGGTACTCCGAAAACATCTTCGTTTCTCTCTCACCCTTGATGGGTTGCCGGGAGAGGATTGCACTGGGCGAGTGTCTTTGCTCAGTGCCGTAAGACACTCGCAGTCCCCACCATCTGCTGTTACTAAGGAGAAGTCCGTTGCCGGTCTGACTGCTGTTCCTTTGTAGATGATCTGCCTTTTCTCTCACACAACTTCTACATTGTTCTCTTCGACGTATTCTGATTTATTACAAACGGTATACCTAAGATTTCTTATAATTGAGCTGCTTTAATAGAAGGATTTATGTCTGTTTTCAGTATTAAAGTCTTAACTTTCATCATTTGAAGATTGACTCATTTTCATCATCCTCTTTCTTTTTTTCTTTTAAAATCCCTAGTTTATGTATGTTGGACTTTCTCATTCTGTTTCCCCTAATGTTAACTCTCTTTTAATATTTTCCACCTCTTAATCTCTCTGGGCTGTTTGCCGGGTGACTTCCTCAAGTGTAACTGACTGACCAGTTCTCTCCTCTGCTGTGTCTACTCTACTTTTCAGTCTCCACATTTTTAATTTCAAGAACTACATGTATTGAAATTTTGCCATTTGCAACAGCATGGATGGACTGGGAGGGTATTATGGTAAGTGAAGTAAGTCAGACAGAGAAAGACAAATACTGTCTATGATATCACTTACATGTGGAATCTAAAGAATAAAACTAACGAGTGAATGTAACAAAGAAACAGACGCACAGATAGAACAGATGAGTGGTTAACAGTGGGGAGAGGGAAGGGTGACGAACAAGATGGCGGTAGCAGATTAATAGGTACAAACTACTGTGTATAAAATATGCTGCGAGGATGTATAGTGTAGCACAGGGAATACAGCCAATATTTTATAATAATTGTAAATGGAATATAACCTTTAAAAATTGTGAATCACTGTATTGTACACGTGAAACTTATATAAGATTGTACATCAACTCTACCTCAATAAAAGTTAGTTTTTATAAAAGAACTATATTTATGAATTCTGCAATTCCTATCTCCTGTCCCTGAATCTACATTTTTTCACACTCTCTTGTCTTTCCTAATGGCTTTTGTTCCTCACTTTATTTCTTGGAACACTGAAAACATACTTATTTCAGTGTCACTTTCGTGCCATTCTAATGTTGAATTCTCCTGTTCAGTAGCTCTTCTGACTGCCTACGGTGGTTCTTTTCCTTGTGTGATACACAGTTTTTCATTATATGCTTGTTTTGAGTGGGAATGCTTTCCTTTGGAAACCGTAGATGCCGTGGGTCCTGGGAGCATCTTTACAGAGTGATTTCAGGTTTCCTTTTCAAGGCAGGGGGTGGGGAGTTGGACTTTAAGGAGCAGTTTGGCATTGTGTCTCAGAGGTACACAGTAGCATCTAGAAACCCCGCTGGGTGCTGGGTTTTAGATGTCTGCCTTCTCGCGGGTGACTCTTTCAGCTCCAGCAGCCCTGGCCAGATGGCAAGCTTCCCTGCTTGCTCGCAGGGAGAGTGCACTGTTTTTCAGAATCAGTTTTGCAGATGGGGTGGCATTTTGGGACCATGAACCTTATGCTGATAGCTCAGCTCCAGCTTCCCATTCAGTTGAGGTCTGTGGCTCAGACTGGACTTCCGACTCAGACATTGAATCCACCCAGTCACTGGGGTCTGTCTGTATTTGATCCCGGTTTCCCATGCGTGCAGTCCTCACAGACCTCCTTGACTGTGAGTTTCTCGGTCTGGCCCTGGGGGTTGTTACCTTGTTGATTTCCAGGTGAGGGATGTGTCCTTGGTGTCACTCTCTGCGTAGTTATGTTTCATCCGGAATCCCTCTGTATGTAAAGTAGGGGCGCTGTGCCTTCCATATCTGCGGATGTCACCATTTTGGCCAGACCTACCACTTCTCTAATGAGGGGGAAAAATACAAAAAGTTTGAAAAAACATGTTTTTAAAATGTTTCACTTTAAGTAACCTTTTCCCCTCCATACTTCTCAGTGCTGAACTGGAAGAACCACATAATTACGAGGCCACCATTTCATATCTGAGACACCCTGGCAACTCCATTAACCTGTGCACCGCCGAAGAAATTGCTGATTGTAAGTCTGCTAAGCCAATTAATGCTGTAACCCTGTGTGGAATGAAAATGTGTCAAAAATGGTATTTTCCCCCTAGCTAACTCTATAAGTGTAAAAATTCACAGCCATGCTGCTTACTATCTCATTTTTTTTCCCCCTTGTCTGGTCCCTTAAAAACAGAAATAAATCCGGCCGGGCATCAGCGCTCTCTCTCAGCTCCTAGTGCTGCCTTCTCTCTTCCCTCTTCTGTTCTCACCTTCACCAGTCTCCTCAGATGCTTTGCCTTTTGTAGACATGTGGGAGGGAGAATCAAGATAGGGAGATTAATTTTCCTTCCTTCCCCTCTGTGGAAACTTCATTTCTCTTGTGGTGACTGTCTCGAAGTCCCCTGCTAACTCTGTGTGTGGAGAGAGAGAGAACAGATGGGTAGAATGAGGTCCTTGTGTTTAGCCTGAATGGGGGCAGAGGACTCGTTTAATGGAGCTGACCACTGGATCAGAGCTAAGTCTGCCTGCCTCTGGTATTGCCGACAGAGCTTGGACCTTTCTGTGGAAAGAGAGACCCTCTCGGGCAAGAAAACGAAGAAGCAGGGACTCAAAGCATTTCTCTAGGGTCCTATATCTTTGTTCTGCCTGTAGAATCAGCCAGTTCTCTACAAAAAAGCATAAATGTTAGTGCTAGAATAGATACTAGAATTTATTAAACCTTATACAGTGGGCCGCAATTTTGCATTAGGTCCTCTGTGTACATCTCTGATGATATCGCTGTTGTGTGAACTCACTCACACACAGGAAACTGAAGATAAGAGAGATGGTCGCACAGATATATGTGGTAGGGCTTTGTGTGAATCAGGCTCAGACTGCCTCTAAGACCTGTGCTTTTTCCACAATATTATGCTGCTTCTTATTCAAGAATGTTTGCAATAGCCAAGACATAGAGACAAACTAAATGTCCATTGATAGATAATTAGATAAAGAAGCTGGAGTATATGCAATGGAATACTACTCAGTCATTAAAAAGCCAAATGAAATAATGCCATTGGCAGCAACATGAATGGGCCTAGAGATTATCATATTAAGTGAAGTAAGTTAGACAGAGAAAGACAATATCATACAGTATCACTTATATGTGGAATCCAAAAAAATTATACAAATGCATTTATTTACAAGACAAAGAAACTCACAGACATTGAACACAAACTTGTGGTTACTAGAGGGGGTGGGGAGGGACACATTAGGTGTTTGGGATTAGCAGATAGAAACTACTATATAGAAAACAGATAAACAACAAGGTCCTACTGTCTAGCACAGGGAACTATATTTAGTGTCTTGTAATAACCTTTCATGAATAAGAATATGAAAAAGAACATGTGTGTGTATATATATATATATATGTATAACTGAATCACTATGCTGTACACCAGAAACTAACAGTAAATTAACTATACTGTAACTAAAAAAAAGAAAAAAATTTAGAACGCTTCTCTTGATCAAAAAGATGCACCCTCCATCCTGAGGAAAGGTCAGGCTATGTGAGAGGCATCCCTTAGGGGAGGCTCGGCCCTGAGCTCTCACAGCAGGAAGACACACCATTGGCTTTGCTGCAAAGTGTTCCAAGATGAAACACTGAAAACTCAACAAATAAAAGCAATTAGAACTTGGGAAGGGAGAATGTTTCATTTCCCTGGAAGGAGAGTTAGAGAGAGATCATCTGGTTCAACCTGGTTATTTACGGACAAGAAGCCCAAGGCTCTGAGAGGGGAAGTTAGTCGCCTGGGAGCACATAGTTTGGAAGTTCATGGGGTACGAGTTAGGACCCATTGAAACTTCCCTCCCCTTCCCCCAGGAAATAAGGGGTTGAAGAACTCCTGGAAAGACTCTTGTAGACTAGGCAAAGTCTAGATTCTCCCATCTGGCCTGTAAAACCCTGGCCATAAGAAGGGGAACTCCTGGCCCTATCACCCCCAGAAGGCAGTGTGTGTGGCCTGAAGAGCCTTACAGGCACGGCTTCTCGAATTCTAACATTCACATGAATCACCTGGGTAAACAGATTGGGGGAGGGGGAGAGAAGATGATTCGTTTTTTTTTAATTTGAAAAATAAATCCATACTTGAAAAAGAATGAGGCAGATTGCATCATAAGCAGTTATTTTGTAAATGTTTTTAAAGCAAGTAATAGGGTAGAATGTTTTGATTCAAAAATAGGTGAAAATAAGTGTACATTTACCAGAGTGGAAGTACGTGTTATTAATCATCCACACGGAATTTTAAGTCCATGTGTCAGCAATCACAGGCAGTTAGTTCCTAGAGGAAAACTATGATTTCATTTACTTAATGAATGGATTGGATGTATAGAATAATAATGGCCTGCATATGTGTGTTGTTGTTTGGTCAGTTTTGTCAACTAAAGCTTTAGGGCTCCAGCAGCAAGAAGGAGAAGAGGAGCAGGGGAAGTTCTGTTTATCACGCATGCATATGCACTGACGGCAGGAGGAAGACTCTTACAGGTCACTTTTAAGGAAAGAAAAATCAAGTTAGCGATGTCATCAAAAAGCATGTCACTTTCCATACAATGTCTGGTCCCCAGGTAGGCACACATTTCTTATAGCATCTCCTTTACACCCCTCCATTACCTCTAGAAGGCAGGTACCACGTGGCTCCGTTTCATAGGTTAGCAATTTGAGGTTCAAAGAAGTGAAGTAATTGGTCTGCATTTCCACAGGTAGGGAGTGGCCAGTCTGGGCTCCGAACCCAAATTCTTGCTACTACGTGTATTGGTTAAGGATTAAATTTGGCATCATGTCATCACATAAAATCCACAGAACTTTGAGAAAATGAGAAGGTATTCGAGCCTTAGTTGGTGGTCAGTGTCCTCTTTTCAGGCTGTACTAAGGAAACAACATTCCTGGAGCCAGACTCTTTCAGGCGTGCTTTGGGGTTCATTTTCTTCCGGTGGGACTTGTACTTTATAGTCCTACCTTGGAAGCAAGTTTTGATGGCAAAACTTACTATTGGGAGAACGTCCACTTTGCTAAAAAAAAAAAAAAAGGTATCAAGTTAGAATGCATTGTTAACTGTGTGTTGCTGGCCTTTTTTGCCTTTCCTTTTCCTTTCCAGTTTGCCTTCTGATTGCTTAAATTGCCCTGCTTTCCCTTAATCATGGAGTAGGGATCTATTTACCAGAAAGGAAACTGAAAATTGTTTCAGATGGTTTCATTGTGCATTCCATGCTGGAAATCCGCACAGAACTGTATCATCATCAGTGACCTGAGAATTCCCCAGACCACACGGGCAAGCCTCCCATAGATGGAAGTTCTGAAGGTTGAGAGAACTGAAGTCTGCCGTCTTCCATAATTGCTTTGATTCCGGGAACTGTAAGAAATGGGTCCTATAAGAAACTGCCTTGAGATAATTTTTTTTTCATGTCTGTTTTAGCAACGTATGAAGTTAGAATTGAAGAACTCCAAAAGGTATGGTTTCCTCTCTTCTTATCAGCTTTATAACTAGAACCATTGTACAGAGTTGACTCTGAAGTAGCTTCTTTTATGAGGGAGGAAAAGGTCTTTGTTTTCGGTTTTCCCCAGATTTCTGAGGCAGACCCCAGCTGCTAAGATTCTGAAAGCTGAGCTGTGTAATAGCAGAGACAGCAAATGTGTTCCAGGATGGGAGCAGATGGTCCTAACCCAATCCTGGCGCCTTATGTAGGGCGGCCAGCACCAACTGGCCTTTAACAACTGTCCCTTCAGAGCAGAGAGTTCTTGGCACAAGCCAGTTGCGTATTCCTGTGCTCTCACAAGAAGGCCCAGATCCCTGAAGGCATGTTTTCTGGGCTTCCGGTGGGCACGGTGCTGGAAACTTGATAAACTTGATTAGGGCCCCAGCAGAATCGTGGGCTTCAGTCCCAGCTCCTGGCTATGTGACCTTGAACTTCCATCTCCTCACTTGTAAAGCAGTGATAATATGAGCATCCACACCGGAAGTCGCTGTGAGCCGGAAAAGAGGTGAATTCAGGTAGACGGTTTATTAGCAAGGGCCAGAGTTGGTTCCAGGCACTTCCCCTCTCTGAGCTTCAGCTGTGTCTTCTGTAAAATGGTACATTCTCCCCGAGGGCAGGGAGCACGTGCCTTGTGGTTACCTTGTCTGCACTAGCAGATGCTCAGTACATAAGGGGACCAATGTTTGTTTCACCGAATTGCTGAGGGCACTAAGTCAGACAAAGTAGGTGAGCACCTGGCGCAGCACCCGGCACATAGTAGGCACTTACCTGGAGTTTTAACTGGGTCATTTAAGGTTCTCCTCTTTCCTCACTGCATACATTTAGTCTAGGTCCCTCATCTTTCTGCTTCATTTTTCTAATGCTTACTGGAAAGGATTGC